ATGATACCTCAGGAAAGCCAGTATATGCTTTTTGGTAGTTCAGGAAGTTTCAAAATTTCACTTGGCCTATTAATCCATTAGTTTACCTGAACCGAGGAAACTGTATACTGTCTTTTCTATTTTTCCTCTGTGAACACAGAAAGAGAGAGACCTCTAACTACAAAAAGCCTGCATTTTCATAACTGCTATAGATCTATGCAAGCTATATGAAACCATACATATATGCCTTTGGACCTTAAGTGTGCTACTGTGGAAGAAAATCATGTAAAACCATCAAGAAATACCATCTTTATTTTGTCATTTCCAAGTACTTCACAAGCTCTGCAAAGATAATGAAAACCTTTTTTTATGAAACCATATTTTACAGATACACCGTGACGTATCTAGTCCTTCCAGAACCGCAAGTGGTAAGTGGTTCTTTTATAAAGCTGGAACTCATTTTTCCATTTCTTGCACTTAGACCATGACATTTTATACATTTTGAAGAGCTAGCTGTGATACATATTTAAATGCAGCATATCCTGAAATATGAATTAATATACTTTATCTAGAAAAAAAAATTATTTAAAAAAACATGTTGATTTTAAAAGTGGAAAAATTCTAAACTATGCTTTTTGATAAAACTGCAAATTTCTCCAGATCTGCTGGTCTATTTCAGAGCAAAAGCCTAACTTAGATGACATAATACATCATAAATTAATTTACCAGAGAGATAATCCCTTCATTTTTTATCTCACTTCTATCAGACTTTTCAGAAAAATTGAAAAGGTCAAACATTTGATAATTTAACTTATACCATGTTCTCCTCCATCATATCATATCAAACTGATGTACAATTTACTTAATTTACAGCACTATTAATGTAATTAGTATATTATGTCCTCCGGATAAAATTCTGTCCTCGTTTCCACCAACAATCTAGACAGACTTACTGTTTTATTAAGGGCAGAATCTGGAACAGTTAGCTATCTCTCCTTTTACAGGTATTTTAAGAATGCATTTCATAACTCTACATAACCTGCAATTTTGGAAAGCTAAGTTTAAATACACTGTCCATACCGATTCTTCCAATTCTGTATTTATGTACCAAAATCAGATGCTTAATTATATACAATCCAGACACATACTTAGGAGAGGAAAGATGTTTCTGAGTATTGGTTGTTAGAGGAATCACAGTTAAAAACCATTTGGGTGGCCATGCGTGCTTTTCTTCAGGGTTGAATCCCCCAACTCTTCAGCTACAGCTCTTTGTCACCAGAGTGCAATTTCACAGACGTATCATTTAAGAGTCATTCTACATGGGACTTTGAATATTAGGCAGTCTGAATGCTTGTCTTATTTCCTATCTATGATGTGCCCTTACAGAACAGTTATAAAAGATTCCTCAGAATTTTTAATACTTATCTCCTCCAAGGGCATAAAGACAGAAAGAGTTCCCAACTCAATCTCACATATACCCAGCGAGTAAAAGCCCTTGAGAGACACTAGCAAAGCCTCTCAACTCAGTACAGCCTCATATGATTTATCATTTAAAATGTATTTCCTCTTGAATAAGCTAAACAAGGGAGGAAATGGATTTACAACGGAGTCTGTCAGACATTAAATTTTGAAATCAAGAGTCTTAAGGGCTATAAACCAGCTTCATAAAGACAGAGGGTCATATAAACACACAGGCACTGAATGCCAAATAATTCTTACAGGACTCAGGGGCACTGGTGAATGAGAAGGTCAATATGACCCTGCAAGTGTGCCTGCAACCCAGAAAGCCAACCGTATCCTGGGCTATATCCAGAGAAGAGTGGCCAGCAGATCAAAGGGGGGGGATTCTCTCCCTCTGCTCCACTCTCATGAGACCACCCCTGCAGTTCTGCATCTGGCTCCGGGGCCCTCAACATAAGGAGGATATCGACCAATTGGAGCAAGTCCAGAGGAGGCCACAAAGATGCTCAGAGGGCTGGAGCTCCTCTGCTATGGGGACAGGCTGAGAGAGTTGGGCTTGTTCAGACTGGAGAAGAGAAGGCTCCGGGGAGACCTTATAGCACCTTCCAGTACCTGAAGGGGCTACAAGGAAGCTGGGGGGGACTTTTTACAAGGGCCTGTAGTGACAGGACGAGGGGTAACGGGTTTAAATTGAAAGTGGGGAGGTTTGGAGTGGATATCAGGAAGAAGTTCTTCACGGAGAGGGTGGTGAGGCACTGGAACAGGTTGCCCAGAGAAACTGTGGATGCCCCATCCCTGGAAGTGTTCAAGGCCAGGCTGGATGAGGCTTTGAGCAACCTGGTCTAGTGCCCATGGCAGGGGGGTTGGAACTAGATGATCTTTAAGGTCCCTTCCAACCCAAACCATTCTGTGATTCTATGATTCATGTTTACTCATGAAAATGAGATTAATGAAAAAATGTGTTAACTAAAAAGAATGCCACAGATGATTAAAAAGTATAGTTTTCTTTGTAAAAACATACTATGAGGAAAAAAACTTCAGGCAGTTACACGCAGTGGACTAATTAGAAAAAGAAAGTAGGCCATCTTACAAAAATCGTACTGTTTAATCAGGCCATGAAAGCAATGAAAAGGGAGTACCAGAACACTGCAAGTTGTCGAGTCAGATCTTTTAATTTCAGTATGAGGTACACAGATCAAAGAAGGATTAGATTCTACCATAGTAACACACTGATGGCACACATACAAAGAAAGTAGGGCATTTACCCATATTTCCTCACTTTGGTGCTGAAATTTTAATAGTTTCACAACGTAAAAGTAACTGCGAAAAAGTATGTCTTGGCTGATGACCAAGGTCACCAAGTTAAATTACTGTCTTCCCTACTGAGCTTGTCACACCCCAATGAAGAACAATAAATTAGGGGGTGGAGGGGTATTTCTTAATTCAAGGTGTCAACTAGCACATTTAAAACCTTTTCCCATATTTCTACCACATCCACATCAAGAAAAATGACACTTTGCTTTATGCGGAATAAATAAAGCCATTCTTCTCCCTTATTTTCCGGGACTGTAATGTTTAGAGATATAGGCGACAGAAAAGGAAGGGAAGAAAGCAGTGGACTGGTATATCAAAAAAAACCCCTAAGTTTTTTGTTGAAAGCCAAAACTAAGCTGCACAGGATAGGTGTTTAGCTCTAGGACGACCTGGATCTATTCCAGAGCCAAGAGTAACACAGGCCTAAGGCTACTGCGAAGCGTTACTGGGGCCTGTATGTATGACTTGGAAACAAAACCTGGCTTGAATTCAAGTTATGAACATACTTTAAACTGAAAGACAAAAATGTTCAGTAGTTTTCCATTGTTGTTAATAAGAAACATGAATAGTTTAGCAGAGAGCTGTAAGGACTATCTGGCAAGACTGAAGAGTTTTACAGCTTTTGCCTTCATGAGAACTGTTTTAAAAGTGTAAACTTGAAAAATCAAAACAGCTTTATGAGTAACGTGACCTTTTTCATTAGAGTTGAAAAGTAGTTGTATGAAAGCTATCACCAATTAGGCATCTCTTCAGTCATTGGAGGGCCCAAAACATAAAGGAAATCTTCAATCAGACGTCCTATTTAGTTCACAACACATGAACCCAGACCCTTAAGGGATCACAGAGCAAAACTGCATACTCCAAATGATTCAGCCCAGGAAGCCATTGCTCCATTTCCTACAGTAGGGATACTCTAAGTCATGGTCACTGAAGTTATCTGACAAACCACAGGAATGGCCTGAGCAAGCCACCTAACCAGAACAGGATACACTTAATAGGGAACCACAGTGTGGTAAACGTGTGAGACAGTTCCTACAAGAACTTCTCCCTGTGAGAGAGTCAGCATACATATGTAACACTGCATGAAAACACAGTGACAGATAGCTAACATCAAGCAGCCTGGAAGTTTATTTTAGATAGTCAGAACAGCACTTGAAAATCACCATAACTCATTTTTCGTGATGTGTTTCCAATATATTTTGATTTATGTAATTAAAATGCTTAATAGTCCTGTGTTGACTTTGTGGCTACAAAAGAACAACACAAACAGAAAAAACACAGAATCAGACATTTCTGGCTTGGCCAAGGCTGAGTGAGTTCTCTTTTTACCTACATGTGTCTAGCTTACAAACCTAGAAGAGATTAAATTAGTGCAGATTACATCATTTTTGTAAATTCAGCTTTGAATGATACGGTTGATGGAAATAATGTAACGATATTTTTCTTTTATGGGAAGACTATAAATGTAAAAACTTTCAGTACACCCAGACTTTATTAAAAAATGAGTTCTGAAGAAAGTTCAGCCTATGAACATGTCCAGGGACACCTGTTTTACCTTGTTATGTCAACCATTCTCTTAAACAGTGAAATCAGCATGTATACAGCCATTCAAATATTTTTCTTTTTTTCACCTCATGTTTGCAAGTACATGTTGTAAGACTTGCATAGGACAGTGCCAGTGAATAACTTATAAAATTCTGATAAATAACTTAAAATAGTACTCAGGTAGGACAAAAAAAAAAAAAATCTAACCAGGAAATAATCCCTCTATTCTGTAGAACTGTATTCAAAATACTGGATACTAGTGTGGTTTACCCCCTCAGATCATCCACTTTCTTACGGGTTTTTTGAAATAAAAACACAATATACAGTCTATGCTTTAAGTCAACGGAAAGACGTTCACTACTTTAGGATCTGTTCTAGCCAAGAATCCATAAATTTTTACTTCATTTCCACAGCCTATTTTTGCGGCTCTGCTACACTAACTGCACAAATAGCTACAATGAGAACATTCCTCTATATTTAACTCTATTCCCCTTCAACACAAAATAGATACGTTTCTTTGACTCCTCCATGGAGCAGATCAGCTCTGCCATATTTGAAGACTGATGCCGTTCTCCCCTCTTGACCCCTATAGTGCTTCTCATTCCATTGGGTGCAGCTGCGTATGACTGCTGGTAGACGCATTTGCAAAAGTCCTAAGACTACACAAGCGAAGATATATTTTCTTCAAAACTGGTGCTTACCTCATTATCTGACTCCACAAGCACTTGGTCATATTCACTAAGAGCTACTAGGAACATGATAGATGTGACGTTTTCGAAGCAATGTATCCATTTTCTTCTTTCTGATCGTTGGCCTCCTACATCCACCATTCTGCAAAATTAATAGCCACATCAACTCCATGAATACCTTAACAGACAAACACACAAGCACACACACAATGACAAAATTCAAGGATTTAGTTGAAAACGTGGGTTTGTTCGTTTTTCTTAATAATTATTTCCACTGATGCATAGTGGAATCTGTTATAATTAGAGAGGTAATCATATTTGCTTTTAACACTGATGAGTTTTCCGTATTGAAATTAATGTATGTCTCAAAACTCTCAGATTTCTGCAATACAAAGGTCTCATAAACCATGATTTGGCAGCGTATGCCCTGTGTATTCACGCCCCATTTTAAGAGGGCAAACAGAATATAGTATGTCTCTACTGAAATTTTTAATATCCAAAATTAAAAGGTGAAATTTGCTCACAGTGAATTCCCATTTCATCCCGTGGTTCAGTGTACCTAAACACAAGTGTCTAACTTACAACTGCACAGTTACTTTTTAAACCACTGTACTTGCACTCCAGTAGGGTGATTTCTCTCTAGAATAATTTCTCTCTAAAAATCAACTACCCAAGTGGTAACTTTGTGTACATAATTTACATGAATTACAAGGACACATGATTGTATTTTCAGAGTATTATTCATAATGAAACTTTGATATGTATTACTGAAAAGATGAACCGCAGGTTTTCTATTTGCAACCATCTTCATAAGAAGATAAACTTATCTGCCTTTCATCCTTTTGACACACATAACATCAGCTCCTTATATATGGACAATTACATGAAAATATAATGACTAAGCTCAAATTTTAGAAACATAGAAGAATTGCTTTTTATGCACTTGTAGTCAATATCCTATACATGGTATTACTAATGTAAAAGGAAAACAACAGAAACAAAGCAGATGGGCGTTAAAACTTTTTTTCTACCTGAAAATGACGCTTTGTAAGTCGAACGGATATTCAATGATCCCTGTTGTTGGGACTCGAACTCTGAGCACATCTTGCTGAGTTGGCAGGTAGGTGGAATCTGCTATGCGGTCCAAGTCATTAAGATAGCTACAGACAGGGAGAAACAACAGGAATGCAAGACAGTGACACCATCATCCCACTGAGGAAAAGAGAAAGGAAGACTTGGGAATGGAAATGGGGTAGAAAGAAGTACAACAAAAAAAAGAGCATTATCGGCATAAAGGAAAGGACAAAGTACAAAAATGTGTTCCATCCTCCCTTCCTTTACACTTTCATAGCTTCAAATAAATTCTACAGAAGAGTGGCATCATTATTCTGTTCTTTTTTCAATACAAGTTTGTTTGGCTTTCATATGCAAATCAAAGATTCAGAGTTTTCAATTACCTAACTCTAGTCAATTTAGAGGCAAATAATACTATAAAAAGTGAGAAATATTAAAATAAAACTGTTCAATTTTATATGTAACATAGTTCTTGATATTCATTCAGTGTCTACCCAGATACACTGACAGACACACATGAATCTCCCAAGTGAGCTGCTAGAATAGATCATTATGTTATAAAATGATAGGAGGATAAATGATACTGTCTGGAGATTAAATTTAAAAAAAAAAAGGAAAACCCACCCACTGGAAGAAAAACCTCTCCAGATCTTTTATCAGAAGGCAACACTAATTATTTAGTGGGATCTCTGGAACCTTTAATGTTTGCATTCACACTGAAACTTCTGATTCAGTTAGTAAGCCTGCAGTACTCATAAACACAAAGTTGCTATAAATTGGCTTGCAAGGGTTCATTAACTGCTCCCGCTTAATGGTGGGTTTCAACCACAAAGCACCAGTGTACTGGAGGCTTTAATTAATTCTCATAGAAGAGTTGCTGCAAAAAAGAAGGGTACCAATAGCGTGTTTGGGTCCAGGAGCTGTACTTCTCATGAAATCAGTGCACCAGCAGCTTGGGGTCTCTGCACGGTAGACGTTGGGGAGAGACTGCTGCAGGAAATTAAGTTCTTGGGCATTTGATTACTTCCCCGCACAAGAGTAACCTAGAGATAGCCACTAAGATAAATTAACTTATGGATGCTCTCATTCATTCTAGGGGAGGAAAGCAATGGTCTTGTAATTTATCATACGATGATGAAGTATCACTAAGCTCTGAACATGTTCTTTTCCTTGCAACTATTACTGAAGGTGTTTCTTTTAAACAAACTCGTACAAGAAACTGTTGCACTTCTACATGGTCTGAATGATCTGCTAATGAAATACTGAGAGCAAGTTATCCTCAACAATGACAGAAACAAAGCAATTTTATTTCTACCTTACAGCAAAAACACAGACAAATTAATTTGTTAGGTCCAGGAGGAAGCCAAAAACATTATTAAATCTCTGTCACTACGATTTTGTTCATGAAAGATTAGTCTGATACTCAACACTGAATGTGAGAAAGTTACACAGTTATAAAGATGTACTGAACTGTTTAGCACAGATAATTCAGAAGCTACTACTCTGAAAACATTTTCTGGTAACACTGATTAGTTTTGGACAGTAAGAAAAAGTCTTGAGAGTCCGACTACTTCATCTGCCCTCAGGTGTTCCGCACAAAAAGCAGAACAGACAAGCACATAATCAATAGGTTGGTGGAAAAAAATAATGTAGCTGAAGGAAATCTATAACCACAGTAAGCAACTGACAGAGACACTGAACTAGTTTTTTTTTCTCCCTTAACCTGCAGAAAAAAAGAAGGGGGGGGCTTGGTTTTTTTTATTTTTGTGACTGTATTATGGAAGAGTAAAAAGAAGCATTGGGTCATTACATGCTACAGTGATATTCACAGGAGCAGAAGAATTGAACTGCATAAATGGGTAGGAGGCCCATTTACATGGTTCTCTTGTTGCATTCTGTGGTGGGTTGACCTTGGCTGGACGATGGGAGCCCCCCAAATATGCTGTCACTCCCCTCCTCAGCTGGGCAGGGGGTAGAAAATATAAGAGAAGGCTTGTGGGTCAAGATAAGGACAGGGAGGGATCATTCACCAATTACTTTCATTGGTTTGGGTAAAATTAAAGTTATTACCAACAAAATCAAAATGAGGTAATGAAAAATAAAACATAAATCTTACAACACCTTCCACCCACCCCTGCCTGCTTCCCAGGCTCATCTTTGCCCCCATTTCTCTCCCTCATCCCCACCAGCAGCTCATGGGGACAGGGAATGGGGGCTGAGGTCAGCCCATCACAAGGTGTCTCTGCTGCTCCTTCCTCCTCAGGGGGAGGATCCTCACACTCTGCCCCTGCTCCAGCCTG